GAAACCGCGAATTGGCAAGATCGTAAGGCACCTGGATATGAGCTCATCTCAGCAAAAATTCTTAAAGAATTACCAAGTGAGGGAATAAGCTTCCTGTTGCATATATTTAATGCATCTATTACAAAATGCGTCTTCCTTGCTCAATGGAAAGTTGCTGAGGTCAAAATGATACTTAAACCAAGTAAACCAGGCGAGAATGTGAGGTCATATTGTCCAATCAGCCTGCTATCTATTGTGTCAAAAGTACTCGAAAAACTATTCTTAGAACGTCTTTTGCCCATAATTCAATTACATGAAGTTATACCAAACCATCAATTTGGATTCAGGCAAGGTCACAGCACAATAAAACAGGTACACAGAATAGTAGAAAAAATACACTCGGCGTTTGACCAAAAGGAATATTGCTTGGCAGCGTTGTTGGATATTTCACAAGCATTTGATCGCGTGTGGCATGATGGTCTTCTTTATTAATTAAAAATGGCATTACCAGTTAACTTTTATATATTTTTACGTTCATATCTGTCAGAACGTCATTTTTATGTAAAGTTTGAAGATCATATCTCATCACTTCACTGCATAAAAGCTGGAGTACCGCAAAGCAGCGTCTTAGGTCCACTGTTATATTTAATATTTACGCATGACTTACCACCAAGAACTGGTGTCTTCACTGGAACATTTGCGGATGACACTGCAGTCTTGGCTACATCTAAAAACCCAACAACCGCCTCTTTGATGCTACAAGCTAGTCTCGATGACATTTCAATTTGGCTTAGGCGTTGGTGTATAAAAGCAAATGAGCCCAAGTCATCTCATGTCACTTTCACACTAAGAAGAGCAACTTGTCCGGAAGTAAAGCTCAACAATATTTTGGTACCATAGTCAACTGCTTCAAAATACCTCGGAATTCATCTAGACAGAGGTCTCACGTGGAAAACGCACATATTCAACAAAAGGAAATCACTTGGTATTCAATTAAGAAATATGTCTTGGTTGCTCAACCACCACTTCTCTCTTTCTCTGGAAAAAAAATCATTCTCTACAAATGTGTTTTACAACCTGTTTGGTCATATGGCATCCAACTGTGGGGAATAGCTTCAAATTCAAATATTGAAATATTACTAAGATTCCAATCTAAGACTCTGCGAATGATAACGAACGCTCCGTGGTACATCACAAATTCACAAATTCATCGTGACCTTAATATACCACTAGTTAAGGAGGAAGCGAAAAGCATCGCTGCCGCATACGCTAATCGTATTAGATCGCATTCAAACAATTTAGCTTCAAATCTAATGACCCACCGTCAACTATTCACAAGACTGAAAAGAAAAGCGCCAATTGATCTTTGTACATCTTAAAACTGAAATAAGTTCTTCATAGCGATGTCTCAAAGGGGACATACGCAGCCCGACTGTCATTTATGTTAATAATGTTATTCAAAATTTATAAAATATCGAATTAGTTTTAGATAGAATACAAAATTATATATAAAATATAAAAAAAAAAATTAAAATTAAAATAATTTGTGTACAAATACATACATATAAAAAAAAGTATCCACATTGGTGTTATTTTCTTTGCTTAAAAAAGAAAATATTACTTTTCAATAATTTTTTTTTCATGAAAATGCGTAATTTTTTGACCTTGTCAAGTGTTGTATTATTGTCGATGGACGGATCAATTTTGTGAACCCCTCAATACGGCACTGGTCAGATAGATCGGTTGGCATCGAAAAATGCACTTTAAATCAGCAGAGATTATAGGTCTTACCAACCATGGTAAGTTTTATCCATGATAATAGCTTCATGTTCATCAACTTCATATATTTGTCGATTTAACCCGCGTGATTTCGGAAAATGCTACAGTACAGTTTTATTTGGGGTAAACATAAAAGAAACATATGTGACATATCAGATGTCGCAAGCATTAAGCAGTTATTTTTTATTCCGTTGTGTACAAGACGTTTGATGTTCGGAATCAATTTGAGTTTTTTGTGGTTCACCGTTATCGCTTCTACTCCTGTTTTTCGAGAAGAGCAACATAAGCAGATACGTCAATATTCAACATCGTAATGGAAATAGTGCATTTGTTAATGACTTTCAAAGTACAAAGAGAGCGAAACTTACTGCTATGTATTAATTAATTTCAGCTATTGAAGCCGGTTTTACGCAGTTTTGTTATTTGTGGTAGGACTTTACACTAATTCCAACACTGGATAATTCTGTTCCTCATACTGAACAGTTCTAATGGTCTTTATATAAACACAGAGCCACTGATAACCACTGAAGAAATATCAATGTGTGTGATTAATTTATGAAAAGTTGTCTATTATTATATTACTTTCACATAAAGCATGAGAGCTGGGTAACATGAAGAATAACTTGTCTACCTCTTCAATAAACTCGGTAATTGTGATTTGACAAGCAGTCCTTTGTTCAATAAATATACTGTTGCGCTGCCACCACAAATAATTGGTAACACGGATTACACATTACGCGGATATCTATAATAATAGTCATGACAATATATTATCAGACGAAGTTCTTGAATCTGTAATTTTAGTTTCTCTCAATAAAGACAGTTCATTACTTAATAATGATACACAATCGTGTATCATTAATTTCAGGGGAATAAAAATTTATATATAATGGGAATTTAAATTTTGTTAACGAATAAATTTTTAAATTCATATAGACTTAAATTTGTAATGAACCTTTTCCTGGGTTCGTTTATAGCTGGGATAAACCCCAAGGTCTTCACAAGAAATTTGTTTATTATCTCGTTATTCTTTGATTCGTCTAACACTGATTATGTGGACTGACCTTACACCTGGAGATTTCTTTTGCTGCCCAATAAAATTTTTCTTTCAAACTTTATATTTTATAACAATATTTAAAAAATTCGTTATTTATTATATTCTCTAATATTACAAATATACAAAAAACTTATATTTTTTTTTATAACTGCCCGTATATAACCCCGCGGGTGCACTGAAACGCAGTTATATATAACTGCCCGTATATATTTAATGAAAGCGATCAAGGAACTTTACTTTGTGACTGCAGAGTGTTTGTAGAGAATATAGTATAAAATGAGATTTTCGAATAAATCGTACTGAAAATTAATGTGAAATAAAATAAAATTAAAATAAATAAATTTAATAATGAATAAAGTACTAGTGTTGCTGAAAAGCTACGCTTTCTTTGTATGGTGACAAAGAAGATTTATTTAAAATTTATAGGGTTTTTCGAATAGCAAAGAAAGAAATAAAGGACAAACACAAAAATTTATTTTAATTTTTATTGAAATTTGGCTGACCATACAACGCTGTTTCGAGTAATGCCAAGTACTCTTCATCAGCGGTCTTAAGAAATAATCGAATTTTATTTAATTAGTTTATAGTGGCACTTGGAGTCCAAACAAATTATGTGTTTCAGGCTTAAAATGCCCTCACATATTTGCACAGTCCACACTATGTTGTTGAAAGGGTCTTTCGCCTTTTTTATATATGTTGCACCTCTTTTGCGGATACTTACTATATAACTTGTAAAATAGTTCTCTGGTCACAAAACTTTTTTTGTGACCATCTGATAAAGTAATCTGCACACGTGTGCAGAAGCAACCATTGTGTCCATTGCTCGGTTTAGCACGTCAGCCAATTTATTGCTGCTAGCTGACCGATTCAGCCTTACGAGTTTGTCCAACAAACAGTGTAACTTTTTTACCTACTACTTCGATGTCTTTTGACAATAGAGATTGTTTTATTATTGCTTTTGAAGGTTTGAAGAATAAATATTTTGGCGACATGCAACTGGCTTGCAATATAACGTCGGTTTCCTTTTATTTTATAAAAAGGAATCTCCTTTTAAATTGCAAGGCATAAATTTCTATTAGGACAAAATTGAAAACAACAGATTTTTTACAATATTTGAGAGAAATATAGATATAATATAAATATGTCAAATAACTGAAAGCTTCAAAATATCTTTTCCTTAACGTGCATTTTATCTCTAAAATAATATGGTACTTCTGTTTGATCAACGATAATGTTACATATTGTTTGATCTAGGAGCCAGGCTTGTTGCTAGTTAACAGTTTTTTAATTAATCAATCTATCTGAAAGCTTACTACCCCGAAATAAATTTCTATATACTGACCTCCTAGTAACAAAACAAATAACTTGCGCAATTTTTGGATTCGATCATCCTTTTTAAACTGTTCTCTAAATTACACTTGTAAAGGATAATAAAACCAATAGTAGATTCTTTTAGTCTCCCTCGCACTGACATTAATTTCGTTTTTTCCAATTGTCATATATCCAGCAGATTTAAATCTTGGAGGAAAATATTGATTTCTTTAAGGTTTTAAATGTTTTTGGAATGTCATTAGAGAAGAGAGAAAAAGAGAAGAATTTTGGGTGAAGGATATTTAATCGTCGGTGTAGCTAAAGCTAACTTTTTTCGTATCTTTGTTAGTAGATAATAGATGAATTGAGAAAGTAATTTGCAAGCTAACGACTAAATAACCATTTATATAAAAGTATATTTGGCGTAAACTTATTAAAAATGGTCTGGTCTGTGAATTAGAAAAAGCAATTTTTATTTTTGAAGCCGGTTCAGCTCCTATAGGGCTTGCATCGCATTTTTTTGAACGTATTCAGGCTTTCGAGCAAGAAGTCCGAGTCAAAACTGCTGTCTCTAATATAATTCGTATTGTGTTTACTTTCAACAGGTGTCTTAGGGCTTCTCAATAAAGTTTTTTCGTTTTTTAACTTATACTTTTTAATAGAGAACTGTTTCCGCCGTGAGGCATCATCATCATCATTTGTTTTGGCATATCCTTTATCCAAAATATGTTTGTTGTAGTTTCGTGCATTATATGAGTTGCCATTGCCTCTTAACGGTTTAACGCTAATACGGTTGGCTTCATATACATTATTTCTTTTGCGTGGTTCATTTCCTCCCTTAGATCTGTGACGGTTTTGATTCTGAATATTGCTTGATCTTATATTTTGACTATTATTCGAACGGCAATGACAACAAGGACAACAAACTGGAACCAACTGGTTATTTGTATATGTTGCCACCTTATCTGAATTAGATGAACTAATATTTTGATATGGCATGGATGCCGTTTGCTGTGTCTTAAGGAAACCATCTATTTTTGGAGCGGTATATGCGGTTAAATTGTTGCTGGTTCTTTCAATATTTCTATCGGTACTATTTTGATTTATGGGTGTATTACTAACTGTAGATTCGTTGCTTTTGTTAGTTATCCTATTAGATGCTTCATTTTTTTGTTGACTTGCATTTGGTTCTATTAATTTGTTTTTAGCAAAGTTTGTGTTGTACATTTGTTTGTCGTTATTAAAATTGCAGTGGCAACAAATACTTCTTAAGTGAGTTGCTATATAATTGACCTCTTCATTTTCCAAACTTTCAACAAGTGAGCTTGTTGAACATTGGCTTTGACATTCTTGTTCACTTGATTGGCGGTTTTTTTTATTTTGCGTCTGATTTGAATAATTACTATCACTTTTTGCTTCACTTATGTATTCTTCTTTCTTTTTTTCTTTAGATTTTCTTTTTGATCGTGTTGACGTTTCATCTATGTTTTCGTAATTAGTTTCACTAATATCATTTTCTCTTCTCTTTTCTTTAGTTTTTCTTCTAGATCGCGCTGAAGTTTCAGCTATGTTTTCATAATTAGTTTCACTTACGTCTTCATCTCTTCTCCTTTCTTTACCGTTTCTTCTGGTTCGCGTTGAAGCTTCAGGTATGTTTTCGTAAATAGTTTCACTTATATCTTCTTCTTTTCTCCTTTCTTTACCGTTTCTTCTGGATCGCATTGGAGCTTCAGCTATGTTTTCGTAAATAGTTTCACTTATGTCTTCTTCTTTTCTCCTTTCTTTACCGTTTCTTCTGGTTCGCGTTGGAGCTTCAGGTATGTTTTCATAGTTAATAACGATGTCATTATTATTCTCCGAATCTGTATAATCTTCAGACTGACTTTGAGCAATTTCTTTTTTATTTTTGGAGATAGATTTCAAATTTTCATTTGCTGAATTGCGTACTCTCTGACAACAACAGCAGCAATGCTCGCAGCAATTTTGCACAAGCTCGATTTTTTGGGATTGGTCTTTTCGGCTTTTAGATTCTCCAGCAATTTTCGACGTTAATTTCTTTTTATCATCAATGAATTTTTCTCCTTTTTTTAGTTTATGTTTCTGAGCTTCTATCTTTTTGGACACATTTTTATTTTCATTATTCTCATTCTTTTCATTACCAGCGAAACTGTTATCTCTAGATTTTGTCACCTTTTTCTTTGTAGATGAACTAGGTTCTTCATGTTTAGATGGTGTGTTATTTTTTGCTGTTTTTTTTTCTTTTCGATCTTTTTGGGAAGAATTACGACGATTTACGGAATTACGAAGCGACTTTCTACTAGGTGCAGTCGATTCCGATTTTTTTCTATTTCTTTTTTCTTTAGAAATAGATTTAGTTTCAACTGATTTGGAAGGAGATTTAGTTGTAATTGGTTGGACAACATTGGAAGAATTTTTTTCCATATTTTGGAGTTTTTGCTCATGGCTAGTTGTTTTTGGTTCATTTCTTCCGGAACTGTTACAACAACAAAAATGATAACAACAGTAATTTTTCAATTCATTAGGATTCTTATTAAAGTCACTTTTGTTATTTACTTCTTGTAGATCTTCTTTTTGTATATGTTTGCTGTATGACAATTGATTCATAGGGGATTCAAGCAATTCCTCACTAGACGAATTTTTGCCTGAATTGTTAGAATCAACGCTAGCGTATTTTGAAAGTTCTTTATGATGATCAATTTTATTTTCAATCAAGTCGTAGTCGCCCTCAGCAATTGATTGGATATTTATTGCTTCAGCGTCAATTAGTAGTTCCTCACATAAACCACCAGCACAACAACAGCCGCAGTTGGTGCAATATCCGTTACAAAAATTATTATAAGGTTGCACTGCTTGCAAAGGGTACTCATATTCATACTTATTACAGTAACAGTTGTATTCCATACAGGGTGTTAGTATTCTGCACATATGTGGAACACACTTACAATCGCAAATACTACTTCGATTGAAATCGGAGCTACTTTCTCGTTTTCTATATTCGGACGCCGAAAGCCTTTGGTTATTTCTAGGTTCTTCATTTTTCGTTGAATTTCTTCCGTCGATTTGTTTTTGTTTTGTTTTCGTATTGTTTGCTTCAATACTTGCTGTGAGTGGACGAGAATCACTGTCCTCTGTCTTTGATGGATGACTTTTCGCATTATTATATTTATTTGTTTCGTACGAATCAGTATCTCTTGAATATCTACTATACCTTTTCTGTGAATTTCTTTGTTTTCCATTTTTCCCGCTGGATCTACCATTTCTATTAAAATTTTGTGATTTTGTGAGTTCTTCACTATAATCATGTCCTTGATCAGACTTTCGATATTCATGCAAGTCGTTTTTATCATAACTTGAATGTCGACGCTGCGAATATCTAGCATCAGATTTACGATCACTGTTGCCATTTGGGGTAAAAACATTCTCTCTAACAGGTTCATTACGTGATGACCTAGACTGGGTATTTCTGGAATCACTATAGACGGCTTGAGCGTAAACAGGCGAATTTGTATCATTACTTGATTTGTCATATAATTGCCCCCTTTTTGCGTATAGCATGTTTCGCGGCTCATTTGTCGGTTGATCATTATAGGGTTTAGGTATTAAATTTTGATCCCATGTCTTATCATTATCTACTACGAAATATTTACTGTTTTTCTCATTTTCATTTTTAGCGTTCAGTAAACAGTTTCGAAGATCGCGTACCCTCTGTATTTCGCTAGATACTTCATTCGCTAATTTACTGAGTTGAATTTCCGCGTTCTCCAATTTATGTATATTCGCACTTAAGCTTGATGTACAACTTACGTTCGGTGGTACGCTCGTCCTTTCATGCAAGTTTGTATCTTTATTGCCACCGTTTTCGTTGTCCTTCGAATACCGGAATTTTTCAACAACTATAGTCTGCTTGTGTGTAATTAGCTGATCTTCATCCTGCTCAATAGAAAAATTTTCCTGCCGATCCAATATAATACTCTCACCTGAAAACAAAAATGACAATATTACTTCTATCGCAGCGTTTTCTATATCATACCGTTTTCTCCTAATTCGGGATTATTGTCCATTTTGCTGGTGTGGAAAATATATCTGCTTCTTTATTTATGTTCTTATTCCTTTGAGCTGTTGTTCTTATTAACGGAGAATTTTGGTCGAGCCAGATTTATGCATTTTCAATTTAAGCAGTTACGAAACCGAAATAATTATATATTTCTAAAGTTTTTCATTTTCAATCCAAAAAATAAAAATAAAAGATATTTCGATAAAGTTTTTCATATTCAAAGAATAATATATACTGTCAAAAATGCATGGCGAGTAGTTAAATAAAATCAAATATTTTTATTATTTCATTAATAATTATTTGTTGCCTTTTTATTCCACATATATGCAGTGACGTATTTTTGTTAAGTATAGTCCATTTTTCACAGGTCCGTCTGATTACAATGCATTTTTTTTACCAAATATCTCAATAAAATAATAAAAGTTCGCCATTTTAAAATGAACTCTGATGTATTAAACGATGGGGATATTAATATATAATGATCACACAAATATTATAAATATATATAATGAAATATATAGTGACTTTAGATAAATTTTAACGCAGTATTCAATTCCGTAAATGTACAGTTTTCATATGCAAATTGAAAGTATTTTTATGGTCCAGTAAAATCAGCATCAATCCTCGGAAGAGAAGATCTTGAAAGATACCTTTGTTTTATTTTATATACGTATGTTGACTGAAAAGCTGTATATGAGAGTCAAGATATTCTACATTATTATTTTCTTGGTTCCTTTAAAAGTTGCTCTGAGAAAAATACAAGAATCGTTTTTGGGTTAATTTTGTACAAAATTAAACAGGCAAATATTTTATTTTAAAATTCTATAACACATATTTTCACTTAGCTTTAGATATTATTGTCAATAATCTGGAGAATATATTAAGGATATTTGTATTTACAATTATTTCATATAGGATTGTCACAGAAATGTTTGCTTAACATGGTTTTTATCTAATGAAAAATCGCGTTCCGCAAAAATGCCGAAAAAAGGTGGGAAGAAACAAAAAAAGGGCAAAAAAATTAAAGATATAGACTGGGCTGCAGATGAAAACTTCAGCAAAACTCGTTCCGTGATATATATAGAGCACACAACAGAATGCCCAATATTTCAGAGAAAAGCAGAAGAGTTTCGAGAATTTTTGGAAGCTGAAGTGCCGGAACGTGAATTCGTTCTTATACGAAATGGCAATGGTAAGAAAGTGCCAAGGTTAGGAGCATTTGAAATAAGTTTTTCACAAAACGCTCGCACTTCGCAGTATGACATTTGGTCTGGAATAGATAAAGGTCCACCAAGAAGAGATAAGTTCCCAGAAAGCTTTGAACTAGTTATGCCAGAGGTGCGGAAGATATTAAAAAAATTCTACGCTGAAGCAAAACAGGAAGAAGAAGAGGATTAGCCAAAATTATAAATCTGAAAACCATTTAAGTAAACAAATTTAAAGACGATCTTTCAATAAAAATGTCTCAAACATTAAACACTTATTTGCTTTAAATTATTTTTATTTAAAAACCAAAACAAAATATGGATTTGTATTTAAAGAATTGCGCCTTATTTCTTTATTTTGGCTTCTACAAACGGTCTAAACTTTTGCAGAAAACCCATCAATGCATGAGCTGAACTGTCAGCCAGGGCGCACATTGTAGCTGCTCTCATGTTACTAGCTAGCTTCAACATTTTGTCAATATCATCAGGTTTTGCTTTTCCCTTTAAAATACTTTGCATAGTCTGATGCAGATAGCGCAAACCTTCTTGACATGGAGTGCATTGTGTGCAACTTTCATTTTTGTAGAAATGTACAAATCGGGCCAATCCTTCGACAATGTCGGCTGACTTGTCAAAAACAATAATTCCACCTGTACCCAAAGCGGATTGTGATTTTGCTAGACTGTCATAATCCATTAAAACATTTTCACAAGCGTCTTTAGTTAAAATTGCTGTTGAAGAGCCGCCGGGAATAATTGCAAGTAGGTTGTCCCATCCACCTCGTACACCTCCGGCATGTCTTTCAATCATTTCCTTTAGTGGCACGGACATTTCCTCCTCCACAGTACAAGGATTATTGACGTGACCCGAAATGCAAAAAAGTTTTGTACCAGTATTGAAGGGCCTACCCAAGCCTGCGAACCAGCGACCACCTCGTCTAATTATAGTTGGGATGATAGCAACAGTTTCGTTGTTAAGGAGAAGTGTTGGATATCCATAAACGCCTTTTTCAAAATTAAAAATGGCCTTTGGATGGGGTTTGCCGCCTTGCCCTTCTAAGCAATCAATTAATGCGGTTTCTTCACCTCGTATATAATTACCAGCGCAACGATGTACATGAACATTGAAGTCATAACCTGCACCACAAGCATTTTTTCCTATAAGTTTATTTTCATAAGCTTCTGCTATGGCGTAAGATAAATTACAAGCTTCATTGTAGAAGTTTCCACGTATGAATACAAAAGCTGTGCGCGCACCTACTACTCGACCCAAAATGAGACATCCTTCTATAACCTTGTGTGGTTCATGGCGTAGTATCTCACGGTCTTTGCATGTTCCAGGCTCACCTTCATCCACATTGACAATTAAAAACTTTGGTATTGACTCATCAGTAGCTAAACGCATGAAAGATAATTTAACAGCAGTTGGAAAGCCAGCACCACCACGTCCACGGAGATGCGCCGCCTTAAGCTCGTTAATTACCCATTCAGGATCTTTCTGCAATATTTCTTTTGTCTTGAACCAATCCCCGCGTTTTAAGGCACCTCTTAATCGCCAATCATGCTGTCCATACAAATTTTGAAATATACGATTCTCATCACATAGAGGACCGCGTCCTTCAGCAGCCTTTTTTTCTCCTGAAGTGTAGAAGTTACGTTGAAAAAACGATAAGTTTTTTAGAGTGTTAATCGTAAATATATTTTTTACAGCCCTCATTACAGTAACTCTGAAATGTAATGTACCTTCTGTTTTTTTTTATTTTCAGAAAATATTTCAAATGAAAAAGTTTGAATTTGTGAAATGAAAACAAACTCTATGCATTTATATAATTAAAATGAAAAAATTTGACAAAGTAATAAGTATACGTATGTTCATTTAATTTTATATATATTTTATATTCTATTACTATTATAGATAAAATATTAAGACGAAATGTAGAATAAATTCTAACGTCGAAGAATACCCTTTAGGCATGTGGATTTCTATAAAATACGGATCCGGTATTTTTTATATAAAATCATGTTATATGCATTTCTTTAAGAAAATCTTGTGGAACGATAGGGATATTGTCTTGTAGTACATATACCTGATTATGCACATATTCAACCAGATTTAACTTAAGTTAAACTGTAACATATACGATATTCGAATACATCATGTGATGTTTGAACAAAGTATATGCTACTTTATTTGTGTCACTGAATGGAAATTGAACAAGGCATTAGGTGGAGACAGTATGCCTAAGGGATTTCGCCTAATCGCTTCAGAAGAATTCATAGATTTTTAAGCTCTGGTATTAATAAATACTTATGTACAATGATTACTTACGTTCTAGCATACTTTTCCCAATTTACAAATATTTTTACCAAATGAATATCAATTTGGCGAAATTGTTAATTTGAACTTAAGGAGGGAAAAGGGTTTAAGAAATTGTTGATGTTTCTTGAAAACATCTGTAAAGGCATAAACATAGTGGTGTGGACGGAGAAAAATGAACGCAGTATTTTGATAAGGATAAGGATGTTTATTATCAGTTATTCTATTTGCATTATTACATATTTTTACATATTTTAATTGATTCACACGAACTTATTAAAAAGGGTTAAGTATCGCAATAACATATATTTGTTTATTAGTATATGAGAATAACATCGTAATATTATCAGATAACATCCATTGATTTTAAAAAATGTTTGATCGTTTTTAAACATATTGTCTAAGATGAAAATTAATTTAGACATATATATAGTTACAATTTTCAAAACAGGAGGGCGTTTCCTACGAACTGAAAAGTGCGCATTTAAAAATCTAATAGAGATAACAATCACAACAAGCTTAATATTAACCCCGAAGTTTTCTCTTGGAAAACACTTTCTCAAAAGAAACGGCTAAGCAAAGGTATATATAAACTCCACGTGACAATATTAGCTATTTAAGGCAGTTTGCAGAGCCATACAGATGGTCGAGCCGGAGATTTAATCGCATTGAAGGATATACTTCCGCATTCTAAGTATAGTTTTTAAGAAAAACCTTTAAACTTCCAATAAGATTGTCTGCATGTGCATTAGCCTTGGAAACAAATCTAGACGATAATCAGATTAAATAATTTGATCTCTATTTAGAATATATATGTATATGAAACTGCTTCAGTCTAGTAAATGCAGACCATCAAGAAAACTGAGTTGGTTCATTAATCTGGTGAAGTATCTTAAAATGCAGAGTAAAGCTCAGTAACATGGAATAAATGAATTGCCAAAATTAATAGACAGTTAAATTACTCAAATCATGATGTACATACGCAAGAAAAAGATCCACGGAAGTGACGAAAGGATATGTGTATTAAGGTAACTTAATAGCCATAAACGTAATTTATTTATGTTACTTGTACAATCCACCAAACAGGTACATACCATAACATATATGATATACATGAGTGTGTAATCTGGAGAAGTCTAAAATGTATTGAATTGGGGAAATGTTTAACACTGCCATATTAGAAGATCAGGAAGATCAGGTTTTGAAAGTGATAATGCTTTATTATATACAAAGGAAACATTAAATAAATTGAAATAGAATTATTACTCAGGCTGATAAGTCGAAGGTTATGGCAGTATATATTTGTTAAAACAGTGTTTTTTAACAACATAATTTTAACCTATTATTTAATTAATTGATTTTTTTTCTACAAGTAAATAATATACGATATTCGTCCTTTGATTAAAAATTTCTAAAATGTTCTAAAATATCTATTAACTATATTATAGAGTTCCATTAAGAAATACTAATGAATATGAGACTATCTACCCATGGAAGTGAGAGTATTTCAATTATTTCCTACTGGTTAAACTATTTCCTGAAGAATTTTATAAGGCGGAGTGTGGCTGTAAACTGCAATTATACCTAATTTTCGACAAAAATTTATTGCCTTGTATTTTTGTCAGCACTTGAGCCAAAAGAAACCAAACAACCGCTGCAGCGACAACAATAAATTACCAATAACAAAGGCAAAGATAATATTATTTGTATTATCTGGCATTCAGCACTTAAGTGCCACCACCACCTTTGCGTTCGGATTATTGGTAATGTGATTCAGCAATATTTTCGTCCACACCTCATCTGCGAACGCACGATATAGTGTATAGACGATAAGTACCATTCTACACTATTCAATGCACGGGCACTAATGTGCAGACCTAATAGCGCGTTGCACGGCGGTAATAGGTAAGTTCTTCATTATTACTAATTTGAAAAAATTGTTTTTCATGTCTTTTTTGTTTTCCAGATGGAATTTTAAATTAAATTTGGATTAATGATTTGTTGCGAGAATGTTTGGTTAAAAAAATAAATCAATTTTCTGAGAGCTAAGTATTTCGTTCCATTGTGTTCTTGTTTCTTCTTCGTCACTTCCATGATCGTATTTGCTATTGTTTTGTTTTCAGTTTTTTGTGTGTTATTCCATTCTTAAGTGTTTGGTTTAACACGAATTTTCAACAAAGGATTTCAGGCCGAAAAAGATTCGATCAATGGGAATCATATTTAAGTTTAGGGCTTATAGCCACATTATTGGTAAATACGTTTAAGTACTTATAATTCGAATTACTTTAGTCAGGCAATTCATTGCGGTTCCTCACCTAACTATCTACCTGTACGGATCATTTTTGTGTTTCACTGGCGTAGTCCAACTATTTGCAGACAACACATATAAAATATAATCTCGTCGACTCTTGTATAAATATTACACCTCCTTCGAGACCAAAAAAAAAAAACAGTTTGCATTTGTAATCCCAAGGATTTGCAGATCGTAGGATTGCAACACTTAAAATTTTTATTGTGTACTCAAGTTTCAAGAAAATGAATGCATCAATTCAATGATAAAAGGTGACAAATGGAATAAAAAAGAGGAAGGGAGAGGAAAAGGTAATGAATTATTATTTTTGCAACACAGTTCAAATGAATTAGATGCATTTAGGTACATTGAATGAAATTATAGAAAGGAGACTTTTGTATAGGAGGGCAATGGTTTTCAGTGGCAAATCCGACCGCAAAGCATACGCCAACCGAGTAAAAGAACTTTGTCAACTACAAAACGACTAGGTAAAGCGCATTTTAAAGTTAATTACCTGAGAGTACTTGTTTCAGTAAGACAATCAATAATTTCCCTATTATCTAAAGACTTACTTTCAATAATAATTTTCAAAAATAATGTTGAATCCTTTTCATGAATATCGTTAATAGATAGGACATGAGTGTTTCCTTGCAGTTTACAGAGGATCTCGAATGTTTAGTCCTTTCATTTAGATCTCACTAATGAAGCTACAATAATTTCACATAATTATGTACATATTTACATACATTAAATTTTCAAGCTTTGCATTGAAGGATATAAAAGTATTTATAAAAATTTTTATACGGGTGATGTAAAAATCGGTGGATCCAATTGATAACCGTAACACGTCAGATTAACTATCAAAGTATTAAAACGATGTCTTAAAGACTTAATGCAAAGATTGCATTGCATTGATATTATGTCATTACAATTGTATCTTTCTTCTATGGAACTACTTGGATTTGTGAATTTAACATACGCCTTCATAATCGTCATAAAGTCAATATGAGATTTTGTGGCGAATTTGATGTTAAAAATGCGAAAAAGTTGTTGTTTATGTTTTAAGTATTATTCAACAT